AACTACTCTCTCCTCCTCCTCCTCTCTCTCTCTCTCTCCCTTTTTAAGGACATCGTTTGAGGATCTGATGACAAGTCATCATTCCTTCTCAATCCCATTCAACATGATGACATTCTGTTTATTGCTCGGATAATTTATATGCTGCATTTGATTTTTACTCTCATTTCAAATCATAATCTGATCGGTATTTGCATTTTGAGGCGATAGTGTTGCAGTCAAAGTAATATGAAGTGGTGGGAATGATTTTGATGGGATGGAATTGGAAAAGGGAAAGATTCCCTCCGAATGAATTAAAATAATGTGGAAGGATAATGTTATATTAACTCGAAAACTTAAACCTTTGACTATTTCAGTTCCTATTGCAGTAATGTCGAAGACAAGAAGAACTTATCTGCAGATGGCATCCAAAAATTGAGTCAAAATTCAGAAAAAATGTAAATAGAATTTTGATAAAAGATCATTAAAAGTCATGAAAGATGAAAATGAATAAAATGCTGCGAAATCCGTAAGTTCATTCGCTGATCACCGTAACTTTTTCGAAAGGTCAAAGAACATGGTGAAGTGAGCAATTTTCGCCCTGCCTGCAAAGCTCATGACTTGAAATAGCCGGATAAATTAGAGCGAAACAAATGAAAGCGATTCACAGATGGTTTTCAGATCGTTTTCGCTGATAATTGTTGGAATTTTCAAGATGGGAGAAGGTTGAGGGTGGCTGTCACTGGTGTTTCACCTCAAAGAGGGGACCCCGTCAAAATTCGTCTCCTCTTGGTTAATTCTCTCCGACCACTCTCTTCTGCCTTGATGATGATGATCCAAGCTACAGTTGTTTCGAAAAATGGGGGATGGACCCAACCAAGCTCGGGAGAGAAGAGAGATCTGCCGACGGAAGGTGCACAACGAACAGCCCCATCCACTCCTGATATATTTTCCCTTGGTTCGGTCTTCCTTTTCCTTCTCTTTTTCTGCGGTTGGAAATATGTTAAGCAGTCTTGACCTTTCGTCTATTGCGCGAGAAAATTTCTGTTGCTGATCGTCGGGGTCACACGTCGACTAATCATTGATTCATTTGAAGATTAAAATTAAAAATTGTTATTTGAATTTCTCCTCTCAAGTACTCAGGACTTTCTTTTTTTTCTGGAAAAAAATCTGTCATTGTTGCGGGACCCGAATTTATAAAATCACAAGACATGTGAGCAGTTATAATTCATCTTCACTGACTAATATTTCAAAGTTTAGGAACGTAGCGTATTGTACTTCCCAAAATTAAAGAATCAAAAAACAACTCGCAATCTGTCAGTCTGAAGGAAAAATTTTTGCTCATGTCCATTAAAGAATCTTTGTTAGTTCCAATCTTTCTCCTCAAACCTTCCAAGATCTCCCAGATATAGTCCCTATGTCATTGTTTGAAATTTTAACTCAATTTCATTGCAGAACTAGTAAAATAAAGTAGAGCAAAAACTTATGTGGGACTGAGATTTCTCATTTTAATTTTGATTTCTCAGAAGAACTCCTCATTAACGATTTTTGCTGACTTCTGCTGCATTTATAGTCACACAATTAAGTTCATAATTTATTAAATGAAAACTCTATCAATGCAAAAATGATAAGTTGCAAACTTAGCAGCAAAATTATTGATAATAAATTATTTGCAATTGATTTATTCCATCTTCTCTTCTTCTTCAAAATTATTTTTCAGTAAATTCTTGTTTCGCTTTAACCACCACTTAACTATTCAGCAAACTAACAACCCTAAAGGCTTTAACTCCCTCAAGAGTAATGCCTATTTCATTTCAGCAGCATTTCTAAAACAATTTTGAAAATATTGCACCAATTCAACCCTATATATATATATATATAACTTGCATCCCGAAGCTTATTGAATTAAGCTCCCATTGTGTGATTGCATCATTGACCCGATCGGTCGTCATACCAGTCCTTTCATAACTGCCCGCCCTGTTTCAGCCTTTCCTGAAGCTCTTTGTAATTTCCGTCTTGTTTCCTCTTTCATCATTTCATGAAAATGAATTCTCTTCCACTCTCTGTTCAATTTCCATTCAGTAATTTATTATTGTTTATCCGTTTTGCCTTATAAAGCTATCATCATTAATGATCATATTTAGAGTCCTTAATTAAATCAACATTTAATTATCAGCAAAAATTTTGGGCTAAGGGTGTCTAATTTGCATTTAAATACACTCTCAAAGAAGAACCATAAATAAAGAATATTCTGCTAAAGCATTCATTTCTTTGCTTGCTTACCAATTTCCTCTGATACGAGTACTAAAATAAATTCTTCAATGCTTTTTTTTTGTGGATGATATAGTAGGAGAAAACATTGATTAGGAAGTTATCTTGTATCAGGAATTCCGCATTCACTTGTGAGAATGTTTCCGTATCCTTCGTCAGGAATACCCTGTTGTTTTGCATTAAATATTTTATTTATTAATCACTTCTTCCATTCAGTATTTTATAATTATTTATTATTACTTTCACACAGGCAGGCCAATATTGTGTGTGAGTGAATCCTTAAAGTGTGAATTTTTCGTGTTCTATTTTGACAATTCATTAATTTAGGCCAATATGGACTACTTGGCCTTCGCTAACACTTATCGTTATAATTTGTTATACACTACTGAAAAACGCAGATGCGTCATCTAATTTTCAAATTTATTGTTTATGTTTCGAAATTGTTTACTTTCAGTTTTACTTTTTTTTCTTCCTTTTTTAACCTAATTTGAAATTTCAGTGTTAGCAATGTCGTATGAGCGGCCGGATAGTTTATCTGTACGACTTTCATCTTCACGTAAATTAGCCAGCTTAGGTAGAAATCACGGTGAACACAATCAACTGGAGGAAATTTCACTTCCACCAGCGTTGCATCGTTTTTTGGCCTCGCCAACAGCAAGATCACCTTCCACTCCGCAGGTTTCCTTTACTTTTTCTTTTTTTTTGTTTTCGGTCAATTAAAATTTTCTAAAATTTCTATGAATGCTTTAGAAATTTCGGACTGAACTATGTTTTCTTTGTATGTATGTATCATCGTAAAAGAGCGATCTAGTACGAACCAGTTCTCAGTTTTTTTTCAAATGATTGAATAATTTCAACATTTTAATAAATATGCGTTAACTGTTCATCCTGCTTTGAACTTTAACTTGACCTAATTGATTTAGTGGTATAGTATCGCGTTAATATAGTGTATGTATGAAAATGATCATATCTTTATGAATAGCTTGTATTGCTATGATATTGGGTATATATAGGGATAAGCTGATATTGTTTGTTAGTATAAAGGTAAACAAAAGAATGGCTCTTGTCAGAGGGTTACCACCAGGATTGTTTATTCAAATTGTAATGTTTGAAACCTGCGACATGTTTGGAATATCATATCACATTACATTTAGCAGCTCTTATTAACTGTAAGGTTACAAATGTGTCTTCTTATAATATCAAATAACAAAAAAAAAGTATATTTAATCCGATATAATGTACTATTTTCATCTGAAATTTTATTAAATCTCTAATTTTTTGAAAAATAAAAGATTAAAGATTAATTTAAACTGGCATGGAATATGAAATAGAAAAAAACATACAGTTATGCCTGAAAAGTTTTTTAAATTTTGTTTTCATAAAAATTACAGAAAAAAAAAGAAAGGAATTCTGAAATATATATTGGACCCGTAAACCATTTATCTTGCTGTGGTTTCTCAGAATCATATATCACCACAGGGGAGAATCAATTTCTTTCCTCTTTTCTCTGATCCCTTTATAGTCATTCCGAACCAATAGTTCGACATTTCACACGATTATAATTCATTTATTTCTTTGAAGTATTAACTTTCTCATTCTTTGATATCGCTTGGACCTATAGCGGCTATGTTCATTTTTCAAATAGTTCGATCGGTTTGTTGTTGAGACTTCCGGTAACTTCCAACAATCTATATCTTCTCCAGTTTTTCGGGTCGATCTTTTCCGTTTCAGGAATCATATCGGTATGCAAAAATATCGGAATTTTTTTCCAGTTGCGAAGATTTATTCATAACAGATTCCCAAGGCTTCTCAGCTTTTTTTTCTTTTACATTTAGCAATGCACCGAATCACTTTAAGCACCTCGAGAGCTTAGACGTAAGGAAAGACTCGTTTACTTATCATTTACAAGCCTTAAGAATTTCTGGCTTAAAAGAGATAGATCTGATCATCCGTACAGCGTGAATTGATAAGTGCTGCTACTGATTAGTTTAGTTGATGCTTCTTACTCTGCTGCCAATGCTTCAAATGACCAATTGACCAATTGATGCTGTCACCTTTATGACTGTAGTGATGAATGAATGGATTGTATATCCACACTTATTCCATTACTCGTCAGTGCAGCTGTCGCTCTCGCTGTCAGTCGGTCCATTAGTTCGAAAAGAAAAGAAACTTGCTTGGTAATCAACAAAGGAGAAGAAAAATGAAAAGTAAACAAGTTTGTAAATTTAAAAAAAAAAATCTGCTTGTGGAATATCAGTTGCTTTGTTCAACTTCAGTTCTAGCTGTCAATTGTTTGTGTTAGTTTGTTGACACAAAAAGATAATACAACGAAAGTTATTTACACCTGGAATAATAAGGACGGTAATCTCGAAATTCTCTCACAAAATATTCCGGACCATATCAATTCCTAAATTTGAGGAGTATAATTGCTAAAGTAAAAAAGAAGTAAAACTATGGCACACTTTATGTTCAGCGATCTCATTTTCTTATTTAAGCTGTCCAACCGTATTTGTTATCCGGAAAAAATATTGCTACAATTTATTTCAGCTAAAAACAGTGCTTCGATTAGCAGACGAAGACTTGGAAAATGTGACCGTACACGGGAATAGCTTCGTTTTTCGGTGTAATCAATCGGGCATTTCGAAATCATTCAGCAAATATACATTCGATCAAATTTTTGCATCCGATGCTACCATTGTTCGTCATTAAATTAATTAATCATTTAAATTTTCAATTCCTAAAGCCTACTGTGAAGAGAAGAATGCAGTCGTTGGTATTTTGACAAGCATAACGGAAATATTACAGTACACGGAAAATTATTCCTATACTGTAACCTTCGGTTACTTTCCTTCATAAATTTTAATTATAATTTATGTAGTATGTGAAAAATTCCACTATACGACAGTTACATTCCAATGGCTTATGATGAAATCTTGAGAGATCATGATATTGTAAAGATTGCGATCATGAAATCATGGCACCTTAAGATTATGATTATGAAATTATGACACTTTAAAGATCATGGAAATGAAAACAGTATAAAATTATGATACTTTAAAGACAGTATAAAAATATGAAATGGTAGTAAAATGACAGAAATGATCATTTTCAGCAACAAATATGTTCGGTTTGTTTACCGGATCTATTACAAACATGTTTTAGTGGTTCTGATGCTTGTTTTATCTATTTTGGTGCTGTATCAAAAGGTACGTTATTTGATAAGTTTTCTTTTGATCTTTCTAAGAGAATGAATGATGAAATCATGAAAATTAAATGTGAAAATTGTTGGATTTCATTGGAAGACCAAATTTTATTGGTTATTGATGATCGCATAATCGTAATCGCAAATCACCGTGACATTTTATTGGTGCCTCTAATGCAATGAGGATTCGATGATTAGAGATGTGTATATGTAAGCGCAGATGACACATGCTTGACAATGGTGAACATGTGATATATGCGAACCATTTTATATCTGTCATTAATTTCATGATTGTCGTCATTTGCATTTCATAATTTTGACCATTTAAAAGAGACTTCGTTTCTGACAAAATTTAAATTATCGAAGTATCAAAATTACTAATAAATTATCACAAATTAAGTAAATGTTTGATACCGTGAAGTAGCGCAAATTTAATGAAATGTTTGGAAAATGAATTTGTAATTTGGGGAAAGAATGTTTACCAGATAGTTTTGAATGAAATTTCCAGTGAATCTTTCGAAGGGAATAACATCAATAAAAATCAAAAAAAATTATGAAAGGATTAGATTTTTTCGTTCACTTTTTAAACTTTTTTAAAGAATTTAAAAATTTTTTCATCTTTTATCTTTTTTTTCAAAATCTTTTTTCTTTGCAAATTTTTATGCTTGAAAAGAATTCATGCATAGCTAAACTCGTCGTTTTCAGCTAAAAATGAGCTGCTGTATTCGCAATATAATCGACAGGATTTCACAGCGGTCAGCACAGCTTCAGATTTAGCCGGTCCATCATCCGGAATACAATATCCGGGTATTTTTCCATCTGCATTGCTACTCACATTCCGGTTAATATCCGAATTGCGCCAACGTCGACCTGATTTTCATCATTCTGTCCGTATTTCGGCACTTTATTATTCTCAGCGTCGTAATCTACTCATCGATCTTCTTGCTTCATTTATTCAGCCCGGTTAGTTGATCATTATATATTTATATATATATGACTGCGTGGGTTTCCATTCAAAAAAAGAATCCATTATCATCCATCAAATCTTTTTTCCGCTTTTGACCGTTTTTCTTTCATAGTCGAAGGCATTTTTAATCTGTTATTTTTCTTGAAAAAACACACATATACATAAAATTATGTTATTTTGAGATAGTTAAAGGAAAAATTGCATAAATTTTGTAGTGAAAGGGCCAGAATCATTAATCAAAGGGATGGATGGACTTTTTCATTCAATGGAATAATTGGTAGCTTGCGCCAAAAATACATCATTTTTTGTCTTCTTTTAACAGTTGGTCTATTGGAAAATGACAAAAAGGCCCGCAAAATGAAATTTGTGTTAAGAATTTTGGAGTGCTCGACTTGTAGAAGAATTCTTCAAACACTAAAATTTCGAAAATTCAGCATGAAAAATTGAATTTTTGTGAGTTCAAAAAAAAATTTCGGAGATTTTATTTCATTGGTCATTTCACATTCAGTGATCATTACCATCTGTCATCTTCTTCAATTCATTTCGATATCTGATCGATCAGATCTGAAATTTCTAATTCCAGTGACCTCACAAGAAGTTGTTACTATTCGAGAAGATTCCGTACTGGGAATCAAAATTCAGAATCATAGTGAATTGAGGGTGGATTCTTTGGAACAAGCTATGTTAATGATCGATGATATTATCCAGGCCAGACTAACCGGTAACTCCTCAATCTTTTTAGTTCAAGCTAAAGAAAATTTTTGGAATATAACAACAAACTGATGAAGTGAAACTTATTCTTAGTGCTCCGTACATATTGCGTGAATTCTTTTGCTAAAGCTCAAGAGCGCATTTTACAAGGAAAATGTCTGAAAGTGCGGAAACATTTTCTACGGAATATGGCGGGTGAAAATCTTGGCATATAAAAAACGTGGATGCCGTTAGTATTCATACTGTAAATCTGGCATTCACGGATAATGCTATAAACTTTATGTGCAAAGTTTCCGTCCACCAATTTTATGATTCCTTTCCAATGAAAGGTTTACGCCGCCACTCAGTCATAAAAATTTCTTAAGCTGGTTAGATTAAAGGAAAAGAAGTTCGAGTTCCTACGAGATGTCATAAAAAGTTGGCAGCTGCAGACCCTGATGTAAACGGAAAATTTGCACCGTATCTACTAAAGTTGTAAATAGACGATCCCAATGAGGCAGCAGTAAAATGCCTACAATTTCTTAAGACCCGTAAATGTGCATAGCTCTTTGAATTACTCATAAAACCAAACAAAAAGTTTTATTGTCTGATGAATGGAACTTGTCTTTATTCCTCTCTTTTTTATATCAGGAAAATTCCCGTAAATACAGCAGAAAAGTTAAACGAAACTTAAACTTTTCCTTCCTTACCTTTTCATCGGGAAACATGGAAAACATTTATATTGAAATGGTAGATGGGAAAAAACTATGAAGAACAAAAAAAGAGAAAAGATCAAAATTCATGGAGTAAATGTGACTGTCACCAAAATATCATGCTTGGAGCATTACCGCATCATTTAAATGCAATGACCGTTTATTTCTGTTTCATTCCAGAAGATGAAAACGAACAACGATGTGGACATCTTTTCTTCTACATCAATTTGTACAGGCTAGTTTTTTCTGACATAAATATTCTTATTCATTACGGTATTATCTACAGAATATTCGTAATTTTTGTATCTTGAGAATTCGAAAAGGGAACCATTGAACCTTTCGCAGTCCAGCGAATTCTTATTAAGTCAGAGCAGTTTATCCATCTATCTGCCATCTTCTTTTAATTTTTAGATTTGAATTGCAAATACTGAAGTTTTTTTCCGCAAAAAATCCAACTTTTTAAATTCAGCAAATGTTTCACTTAGTATTTTAATGGAAGAAAGATTGGAAAATATACAACCGATAAGACGACACAAAAAAATTTCCTCCTATTTATGTCCTTATACTTCTCTTTTCTATCCCGGTTTGTTAAAAATGTTTTTTAATATGTGCTGCCACCACTCAGTCTAGCTTCAAATTATTTTCCCTTGTTTACAATAAGTTATCAATTGCGTGATTATCTTTTCGGCTATCTATTAAATTCGATTTTGCAAAACTTCAATCTAACAACAGCTGTTTGCTCACGACGATTTATTTCACACTTTAAACTGTTGACAAATGTTTTGATATTAATTCACATTGATACGCGATTCAAATTACAACACTCACAACGAGTACCACTAAACGAAAGCACCGTATGACAGGAAATGTTGATCCGGAAGGATAATCGACATTTACACTTATGCCATCTCATCCTACTTTGATTTTTTGATTATTATTACATTACTGTTATTAGTAGTTTGGCAATTGTCGCATTTAACAGCAAGTGCAGAATGACACGGGAAATTATAAAAATATTTGAAAAAAAAGATCAAACCTGCCGACTTTCTTTTAAGCTGCAAAACACACAATCCAGTTATTTCAAAAGAATTTCACCGTTCTTCTTTGAAATTACTGGAATCATTCAGGTATAAAAAGAACACATCCCAATTGATTGGTGGCCGATCGCGATTATGTCTGGTAGATTTAGGACTTGGTGAACGTACATCAAAAGGTGATATACAGGCCATGACTATGCCTGTTATCACCAACCTTTTGGTTGCATTATTCCAAGGACAGCGATATCTCCCGAGCAGGTTTCTTCTTCACTTCCTATCAAAAAGAAAATTTAAGCTTTAACAATCAGTGTGATAAAAGTTATCACAATGTCTATCTATCAGAGAGCTGTCTCAACATTTGTTCCCTTCCTAACTCCAACTAAGTTTTTTGCTACTTATTTTCAGACAAAGTCCTCTATGTATGTTACTGAAAGAATCACTAGGTAGTGTACAAGTGAAGGCATCGCTTCTCTTCGCTTCACTTTCTGATCGAATTTCGGAATCGGAAAATATTTTACAAATGATGTCCAAAATACAACGTGCTGCTAAACCACGAAAAACACATCGTGTAAGTAATTGTAATGGTTAACTTGCTAAAGTGCAAATTACACTTTTTCCACCTTTTTTTGAAAATAAAGATTGCTGTAAACAGTGTTCCAAAAGTACCATATGATATCTCACCTGTTCCAAGGATAGACTACTTTGGCAATTTCCGAAACATTAAGCAATAAACGATTGGCTTCATAGGTTTTTCAAGATCTCAGTTGACTTTGTACCCAAATTCTTCGAGAAACAATCAATTAGAAATTGTACTATGCAAATTTGTTCCTTGACTACGTAGAATGAAATCGTAGAATCTTAATTGAAATCTAAAAAATTTTTCCCAATCTTATCAGTCGGAAGATGAAATGTTTAAATATTTCGTACTTTCGGTGCTGCTCCTTTTCGATTCAGATTCATTTCCAGCAAAGATTATTCTGATATATCGTGAAGATTATTTGTTATCAATGGCTTTTATTACATCTTCCAATATATCGTGAAGATTTTCTTTTCATCGTCAGCTGTCCCATCTATTTAAGCAGCAAGCTTTAACATCGGTCATCTTTGGCTACTATTTCCGCGCAAGATTTTCAATTATTAGTTCTGCTTTGATCCATTTGCCAAGCTTGAATTTTTCGACCGCTAGCCTTGAATCCTTAGGTGGGAAGCTAACATAGTGTTTCCTAATCTATCTTTACTGATATGTTAAAGTTCCTGCTTACTTTTGGTTGATTTAGCAGAATTTAAAGTATTTTTTTTCGTAACCTTACAAAAAAAATTAAAGCCTTACAATCGACCTCTTCAACTGCCACATAATCTTGTAAAATTTTACAGAGCTTGCATTGTTGTTGTCATAATTTTGGACATTTCAGGAAATTTTTCCTTAACTAAATGAAAGCCAAACTTTCAAATTTCGAAAATTGTACTTGCCATTTCATGGCATGTTAGCACTTGAAGAACATTTGTAAGTAAAATTTTTGCGAAGAATCTCTGTTGTCCGGACTTCTTCTTCATTTCTCTCAAAGCAATCTCTGAAATAGAAAATATTTTAAAAAATTGGGCTATCATGGGAAATTTTTGAGTTAGCGGTCACGTACGCCAATATAATTCACAGTATCTGATTTTCTTTGTAAAAAGTTTCTAAATTAGAGTAAGTGAAATAAATATTAGACTACCATTCGCCACATTATTGGAATTGTTGGTAAAACAACAAAAAAATTGGTTAAAATAGAATAGGCCTATTGTTATTTCCTCTGCATTTCAATATTAAAGTTACGAAAATGATCTGTGGCACTCAGAAATTTATCGTTATCTGATACAATTTTAGGTTGGGAGTGATTCATCGTCTTCCGATTCTACTCGTCGACGTTTGGCTGCAAATAGTGAAGGTAATTCGAGCTCAGAGCAGTCATGCGCCGAAACGGTCATTTTCCTCGGACCTTCTGTCAGGTTTATCTTTTTGAACTTATAAACTCTCTTTTTACTGCAACTTAGACTAACCTGAAATTCTTGATCTGAGGGTTTAATTACAGACTTGCTTTGGATCTTAGCTCAGTTATTCAGTAGACTTAGCCGCTCTATTTTGTTTTATGACGAGACTTTTGTATCTCAGAATTGGATTCTGTAAGTTGGCATGGTGGAAGGAAGAAAATTAAGTCTGAAACTTCTAAATTTCAATTTCTTATATTTTTCCATAGTGCCCATATGTATGTTCACTTAGATTTTTCAACTTGGACATATCTCTCAAGCACAGATTTAAATGGGTAGGCAAAGTGGCCAAAACTGATATTTGCGCGCAACAGGACGGACTATATTCTCAGCATAGGCTGTAATCCAGTTTGTAAAAGAAGCTTTCCGGCAGATTATCCTTCTTTTCAGTTACTCTTAACATCCGAAAATGAATCGGTATAATACTCATGCTTGAAACTGGAAAATGACTTCATTTTCGGTTGGATGAAGAGCCAAAGCAAAGAGGGTATTTTAATTAAGTAAAGCTGGCATGATCTTTCCTTTTTTATAGATAGATTTGTGAAATTTGACAATAGAATTTAAGAACTGCTTAAAGTTTGGAACGAACTTTTTCGATTTTACAGGATAGAACCAGCTGCTGAACAACAACAGCCAAAACGAAGAACGAACGGAAATGCAATTGATTCGATGAAACGAAAAATGATCCTGGATTGGATCAAGGACACTCAGGAAAGCGGACACTCTCGACCTGTCAAGGTTCTCACTTGCTCAATCACATCCATTTTCCACCTGCCACATCTGGTTATTTCATGAGTCTTTATTGCTGGAAATGTCTTAGATCAAACAAAATGTTTTAATTCTTAGCAATAATTCAACGGTTGCGTATAACCATTCCGAATCCTGCATCCGTCTTTGCGAACATTTCAGACATTCGTTATGGGTGCAGGTTTACCTGTCTATCGCTATAAATTTACCTATCTATCTCTGATTTCTAGATTAGTGTTTGCGTACAGTGTAACGAAGACGACATAGACATGGAAAATTTACAACGGTTCGGCTGTCGACGACATTTGGACGATATTCTGGAGGATGACGAAGAAGCCAGTGGGTGTCATTCACCGCGGAGCCTACCAACCACCGAACAATTTCTTGAGTCTTTCCAAAACATTGGCACTCTTCAGCAGCCACTGAGTATTCTTAGTCTGGATAAAGTTTCTGCTTCAACATCCGGAAAAAGTGCATCCGAAAATGTTTGTGCCATTTAATTTTTCAACTAATAATAAAGGTACGGTAGTACGTCGTCTTTGAAAATAAGTATAATCTATTGGACGACAGTTAGAAACACTTTGAAATGGTAGTATTTAGCAACGGCTTTTACGTAAAAGACATTGTTCGTTATCTTTTCACGTGTAATCTATGCTTATCATATTCAGTTACTGCGGATTATCAAGTAAAAAATTGTTTAGGCATCAGTATTTCCTATATTTCCATATAATTATTTATCTTAATGTTTTAATCTCATTATCAGTTTATTATCTCTTCTACTTATTCCATAATTCAGGAGGTGGAGGATGACGATTTAGAACGAGCGATGGCCGCTAGTATCAGTTCCATTCGTTCACATGAAATACTTTCACGGTTAAATGACGATTTGTCAGAAATACAGTCTGAGGTTAGCGTTAAAATTTTCAACTTAGAAAATCGATCACACATTAGTCTCATTAAATTTTGTAAACAAGTCAACAGATGAATCGTCTAAGTTGTTAAGAGAATAAGTAAACAAAGAGATGTAAATGTCAGTAGCTGTCAACAATTATCAGTAATCAAATGAGCTATTTGACAAAAAAAGTAACAAATAAATAGGTGAAACAATCAAATTACTAGACAAATAAGCTTCACTAATTCTTGTTTATTTGAATGTATTCAGTGACAGGAACCTGTTGACTAATGGTCACATACACTTTCACTCATTTGATTCCTGCTGACCACAAAATTTGTCGGAATAATTACCGTATAATTGGCGATCATTTGGCCCATCAAACCATTAGATGACTGTAAATTTATGTATCTCAATGGACAGCCAATTGACAAGAAAATCGCGGCCTTATGCTGCTTAGTTTGATATAGAAGAGGGGTTTCATAATCAGTGGAAATATTTGAAATTAAAAAGTGGCTCATGAAGGTGGAAGCTAAATGCCGATCTCACAAACTTAAGTACTAAGCACATTTTAATGGAAGTTTCAACAGACATTCGTTACCGCGAAAAATTACAAAAAGAGATACCGCTTGATTTGAATTTCAAAGGAGGGATAGATAAATTTATTGATGACAGTATGCATCGATGGGAAAGTTTGTCAGTATCATCAGTTCTACCTCTGCAATAAATCTCCCTTTTCAATCATTTTATGGAATTATTATCATCTATTTTTAATCAAAAATCTTTCTCACTTTAATTTAGATAATAAATTGTCCCACCGAAATTTACTGGAATTGCGGTAATATTTGTTCTTCATATTTTGCATTGCATACGATATAAATGACTTCTTCATAGGCAGATATTTGAGGAATGATGGGATTTTAGTCTCTTTCAAGTCATATTCTTGTCCATTTGAGACTATCCCAAGCATATGTGATATTTCAACTTCCGGCAGATCAAATTCTTCTCTCCTCATAAATTACTGATTTGATGGCTTTTCATCCTGAAATTCATTTACTTTATCAGTCGAATCAAACCAGCATTCGGAGTTTAGAAATCCATAAAATTTGAACATTGATTCATCAGTATAAAGCTGTAATACTTGTATTTTCATCGTCACTCAAAAATTTTCCTTCAGGAAATTGATCATACACCAGATAAATTAAAGTTCTTTCCGTTTTCTATTTCGTTCTGGAATACGGATAAATCTTTAAAAAGATTTTAATGCCTTGTAACTTTTTCATTTTCGTTATTTTCAAATCTTTTAAATTACGCGGTAATTATACCGATAAATGTCCAACTTTTTAACACTTCATAGTTGGGACAATTGATGGATCATTTGACAGCTAATTAGAACAGTTAATAAATTAATTCCAAAAATTTGTCAAAACTACTAGATGTAAAAAAAAACTAAATTATTGTGAAAGTATGGACAAAAGTCTGATTGTTTAAAAAATTAATATAAATTTGAAACTCATTATCGGAAATTATTGAAACCGGTTTTTGATTTCGTATCCAAATCTTGATTAAATATTATAAAAGAATTTAAAGAAAGGTATTCGGACCCTAAATGTGATTGATTAAAAATGACAGCTTATAGTGCCTGACATGCTGATAATACATTAAATTTACGAATCTGTCCTCCTGATTCTTTCTTCATCTCATTTTCTTTTTCCATCCTCCTTATCGATAAATAAATTGGAAATTTAACTCGATCATTTAATTCGAACCGGCACTGATTCGCAGTGATGAAGGATGAAAATATAAAATGATTGATTAAATTTCCATGGTCGGCCTCCGATCATTTCCACTTATTTTCCTTAAAACCTTTCCTTTGTTTTAAAATTTTAAGATACTACCTACACATACAAATTTGCTACAAAATGAATTTACATCCTCAAGTTTAAATTAAAATTTTTGAATTTTTTCATAAAAATGAACCAAAGTATTTGATATTTGTCGTGAAGCATGCTGTTAGCACATAATTTTGAGAAGCAAAACTTTTATATTTACCAAAAAATGTCACATGATAAAAGTAATTATTCATAGATATAATAGCCTTGAAAACCGAACATGACATCAATGATTTGTTGCAGAATGTATCGGGAAGTGATAGTTCACTATCAGGATTTAATCGAAGCGCAATCAAACCGGAAGCTTATACAGATGAGAAATTGTACCAACTTACTGAAACCTATAAGAAGAAGAAGAAAAAATTTATTCCATTAAGCTGTTGCAAGAGTAGCATGGTTAGTTGAGAGTTCCATTAACGGATACCAAATATTTTAATAAAATCTAGAAATTTAGGGATTAATTGATATTTGATTGTCTTGTGGAAGTATATTACTCTCCTATCGATATTTCATCTTACCTTCAACTTTCTTTAATGAAATTTTATTCGATTAGGTTTTTCTGGGAAATTCCCGAAACTTGTTATAGCATTTCTCAAAGTATATTTCAGCTTTATTATTTATTTCTTGTTTCCTTTTTCAGCTTTCATCGGAAAGTAGCGCTGGTTATGGACAAGCTAGCTCACTTACTATTCTAAAAACAATAGAGAAAGAAGATGCACACGAGACTAGCCAGCTAGTAAGCGGTACTTTTCCGTCACCTCTATTGGATCAACCAATGATCATCACGAAAAATAACAATCCCAAAACAGTACCACGATCCAGTACACATCCACTGAACAATTATGCTAATAGGAAGTACGTTCATTAAAGTACCACTAAAATCGATTCACTTCAAGTACCAATAAAATTGATTTAAAGGACTTTCATGCAATATGACTTATTGTACACTTTCTTTTTTTTGCAGTAATCGACCAGAAGCACTGCCAAAGAGCAAGCTACCACGACGAACTGCAGAAAGTAACATACGTAAAGTTTCTCCCGAAAAACAACCTGTGTTACTGGAACGTACGCCTTTACAATATCCCGTTGCCAAAAGTTCACGTCGTGATTTATTTGATTCTAAAAAAGAAACTAAGAAAGGGTAATTTTTCTGAACAAAGTTAATTTTTTATAAAGTAACTATAATTTTGGAAATTTTTCACAAATTTTGCATTTTTCATTATTATATTAACTTTTCTAATTATGAGAAATTTAATAACACCATATTGCGACACTAGAAAGCCGTTCTATGTAATTATCAGCCAAGGTTAAACTACCGAATCACCGGTAACTCAACCACAAAATTTGATAGATTGGCGAAATTAATTTATGGACCTCTAGAACATGTAACCATTCCGTCAGAAGAATACCGAAATAGTCTTTGTGGTGAATTTTGATTCACTCAGTAATTTATTGCAGCAAACGCATTATTGAAAGACGAAATTCGGGTGATGCCAATCAAAGGTCGACGAATTTTGTACCATCACCTTACTCCATGGCATGTTTTCTCCTCTTCTCTTTTTTCCATAATTAATTAGCATTGGTTTTATGACTGACATGTAAACGAGTAATTAAGGAATTATTGCTTGTTGTTTCTCTGTATTACTGATAAAATTAGTGGATAATGACTACCAGATGGTTTAAATTCAGGTAACTGATGCAAAGCAGGACACTGGCGCATATTCATCAGGCCATGGTAGCGATGAAAATGGCTCAATCTATAGTCGACCACTGCTAACCTTGTTATCACCTCGTTCTAATCGACCTCGAAATCGAGAAAGTTTCTCGGCTAGTAGCGGTTACGAAAGTGCCACCGGTGTGGATGTTGTTAAAAATTATGGTAAATTTCCTCTTTTATCACAATTTTCTCATCTAATCTCTCGGCAGCAATCAAGTATATGAGGTCTCCGAATTTTTGGGCTTTTGAATGTTTTGATCATTTTTAAAGCCTAAAAAGTCATGCACCGTGTTAATTGGAATTTGAATTTATTTCTGAAGTTTTCAGGGTCCCTTTCAAAAAGACGACTTTTCGAACTGTCACAAACTCATTCTTCAAATAAAGTAAGCATTCAATAAATGGAAATATTTTCGGAAGTTCTAGAACAATTCTGAACATTATATACGTATATATATGCATATTTGTAGGATGCCATTCATTTTTCAAACCTTTATCTGAGGAGGTAGAATTCAGATAATTGATCAGCGTGCTTTTCATAGGTCTTCAATAAAAATTTAATATTTTCAGCATGCACTACTGATGGATAAACGAGTTAATTTAATGATTAGACGACAAAACTGTCTTCGTGATGATTTACGTGAAGCGAAACGTCTACTAGGTGTCGCAGATGAACACTTTCTTACGGCATCCACATCTAGTCTTCAAGGAGCTACTTTATTAGAAGCACTTACTCAGGTATAATTGTCTTCTACCTGATATTTAACGGGCCCATTATGGACAAACAAACGAGTTAATTTAATAATTATTAGTTGGTGAAAGTCGGTGAAACGTGGTTTTATCATTAGCTATATTTCCTTTTACGGCCTCTCCCGATTGACATTCAGTAAATCCGGATACAAAATAGTTCTTTTCAGGAAACGAGAATTTTGGAGAAACGTTTGATAGCATGCCGTAATCATGCAATGATCGTAACGTGCCTTTTGTGATTTTTTGACGTGATCTCATGTTGATATATTTATATATGTACATAGAGTGACTAATATTTCTTTGTTGTTATCATTTGTTCTATTTCCACAATGATATGCAAATTGTGTAAACTTCAAAGTATGACTGTAATAAATTAATAAGCACTTTTAGAATAGGTGAGGAATGTAAGAGAAATGAAAACAGAGAAATGAAGAGTAACGTAGTAAAATAATATTCCGAATCATGTGAGTCCGATTTAACCGCTTAATGAAGTGAGAAAGGGATCATATTCTCTCGGTATAAATGAATTTGGGTGAGGTGTCATTGAGGAAACCTGTAGATCAGTATAGTCAACTTAAAACTTTTGTGGAAGAATCCATGAATTTGAGATTATAGAATGAAATCGGAATACTGTACTGAACAAAGAGGAGGGAAAAAGGATTCGGTGTTCGGAAATAGTGCAAGTTTTTGAATTAGGAAATAAATGGGATAAAAGCCTTTTGCTTCAGGTAAGTTCTCATATTCTAAGCGTTACGAGTCTGTTGTTGAACTTTGTTCCAATACTTCTTTTACATGTCAACACCAAATGGCAAACTGATTCTGGCTGGACTAAGTAAAATGGAAAGGACAACTTCAGCGTCCAATAAATAAAGCCCAGGAATATATTGCAGATTTGCGTCATGATGACAGGCAAACGGGTCTTACAGATCCATAATACAGATGGTTCAAGTGTGCTATGGACTATGGAAAAGATGAAAAGCAAGTAGAAAAAGCGAGTAAAGGAGATTTACTTCAATGTTAGACATTTAGATCGCTTATGAAACACAAAAAAAAAAGAAAATTAGTGTTCATCTGACCTTTACAGCTGGATTTGATAGATAGTCTTGACCTCGACCGTTTATTTCTCTACATACTGTGTGTCCAATCTTTTCAATTTTTAACATGATGGACACAGCGTGGAAGTTGCTTACATATAGCTTTAGTCCAACTAAAGTTGACATCGAATGTGACGCTGAGACTTTCGAAATATAAGTGCGAATTTGATTGCAGTTGACACAATTGACTGGAAAGTAATTTTACTGGATGCGTATCTGCCAGTGGGAAAATATCCGTTGAGATTTGAGAGAATGAGATAGATGTTTTCACAAACCGAAGTGCTTGGAATTGCAAATGGTGTTGCGGGGAAATGAGGCACGGCGTGCTTCCGTCATGGTTTCACGCTGTATGCGTGTGAGGGTGGGTTTCACTTCAAACCCGAAAGACTGGGATTGTACTATGGCGGGTCAGGTCACTCGAGATCGTGTCAGTTTTGTTACATGGTGATGTGTCTTCACTTTAGGTTAATTGCTAGAGAATATCTGTATTTGTCGGACTTCCTGCTATCGGTTCTAATACTTTCCGACAAAACTGTGCGTCATTGTCTGTGGTGATTCCGGAATCCCTTTCATTATCAACAAGTTTTGAGGCTTGAAAATTGTTCCATTTCCATTCCAATGTGGACCTAAATTACTTAGAATTTTGCAGGAAACAGTGAAATGATTGCATTTGAATTTAAAATGCGCATTGTCGATGAAAATTCCGTGCTAATTTTAATTAGCAGGAGTAGTTTATCCTTATTATTCCTAGTTAACAAACAAAATGCATAACTAATGGAATTTTGTTTGTAGCGATGAGATGCAAGTGTAATGTGAATTTAAAAGTATCCTTAGTTCTACATATTTTCGCCTATATGGAAGTAATCTTCGTTGCAGTGTCAACAATGAGTAATAAAAGTGATGCATCAGGTGAGGGTGCTGATTCAGCATCGGATGTCGAAATGAAACNTGTCGCTTCCTCTGACGATGAACAAGTTAAGGTAATTAAAACATTACATCTTACAACATTAAAAAGATTTACCTTGTTTATGTGGCCATCGTTAATA